CAAGGGAACATGAATCAAATATGTATCTTTATTCATTTACAATAAACTCATAAAGTACATCATTCTGATTGAAGCTAAGGGCATACAAAGCTGTCTAACATATAAAACTGTGAATGTGTTCAATTTGCAAATTGCGAAGCTCAAAACCCTCGAAACTTAGTCCCATATTTGAAGGTGAGATCTTTTACGATTAGAAATAGTGGTACCCTATGATCATTTTGCAGTCAGAGGAGTTAGATAAACTGAAAATGAAGATTCAATGAACTAAAAATGAATAATGATCAGACATACCTCTATGGAAATAAAGGCAGATTGATGGATTTGGATATCTCTTCTGATGAGGGAAGCGACCTGAAATCAAAATAAGAGTTCAACTTTAATGATCGAAATGAGAATATATTGCCTCTCTCATTTCCACAGATCGAAGGCAGAAATCGTTACCTATATTGTAGAACCGTTCTCTTCTCTATCGAACGCTCGAAGAGGACTTTGGAGAAAACAATCGAAATGATGCAATGGCTATATCTACTTCGACTGACTATTGTGGCAAAATTTTCTTTGATTTTGATTTTGAGAATGCAATATTTTCACTTATTTTTATGCAAAGCTTCTGTAAACATTTTGCATCGAAAATCAGTGTACTTTTGAGCCCTAACTAAACAAAGGCAATTTTGCAATAATTTAGATTTGCACTCCAACCGACGCAACCTTCAGATATATTGCTGACAGCGCCAAATTTGGATCGAATGAAAGATCAAAGTAATGAAGTATCAAGCCGGACCAGTAACTCGATGATACTTTGAGATTTTCTAGGTCCTTTATTTATTTTTTATATTTTACGATTGAACCTATGGTTGAACCGATAAAGCCGTGACCTGATGAGCTTCTTGGCTTTATATCCAATCTGGTTCCTACTTCCTATCACATTGTTTTATATGTACATCTTTTAGGTTCAGTTTGGAAAGAGTACGAATACAAATATATATAGTCCAAAACCTTATATATTGTATTATAAACCTTATATTTATACATATCTGTATTCATACTCTTTCCAAATTGATTCTAAAGTATAAATACGTAAAATAATAGACAGTTGGGTTTGATGTAAATGCCACCTCAACACAAGCCCAAAACTGGGGTTTGATGCGGCCCAACTTTCCATTTAAGGCCCAACCCGTTATTCAAAAGCTTCAAGCCTTACCCACTCATTGCTGTCATATCTGTGTCCCACAAGTGCCTCACAGCACATCTCAATCGTATATTGGGAACATCTCCCAATGTCAAACACAGGAGATGTTTTCAACATACGGTTGAAATGTGTAATGGGGCGCAGATGTGAATTCTCATTTCTGCTGCATTTTGCCTCGGAAGCTATTAATATTTATTAATAATTAATCATCTGTGCTTTTATCATAGTTTACGGATTTCTACCAAACAAATCATAATTTATGGATTCAGATCAGTTATTTTACAATAAAAAAATCTCTAGGTCTGGGAATCTTTCATCTTTTTGTGAGTGAAGGGCACGTTCCAGCCTTTGTCAAAAGATTCTGGAATGATCTGTTATCGTCTGATACTAGTTTCTCATCCTTCGTTTTGTCAAAAACAAAAAAAAAATCAAATATTTGGCTCAAAATTTTCGAGTTAAAATTTTCTGCACGTTCCAACACCTTATCAATATAATCTGACACCGCACATCTCATCATCAAACAGAGCCATATAAATGGAATCAGTGGGATCCGCCACGTATGAAATGTGCGGTGTCAGATCATTGTTAGGGTGTTGGAATGTATTTCCTGGTAACTTGTCTGGAGATTTGGACTGGCCTCATGGATGTTCAACAACAAACGAACATCACAAACTGCTGACCATTGAGTTACCAGCCTCTCTCTCTCTCTCTCTCTCTCTCCTGATTCACTCCATCGTCGGAGCCCGTTACATCTAGAATTCATGATATATAATCACAATTGCCACCTTATCTATATATCTACATAATTCTGCATCTCTTCGTCTCAGCCACCAAGTGACTGCGAGCGGTATCGGCAGCCATGGCCGCCCACACCATTCTCGCAGCTTCTCCTTCTCAATCTCTCCTTCCTTCCTTCTCAAACCCTAGCCCTCCATTCCAGTCTTCCTTCGTCGGGCTATCCGTCAAGTTCCCTCGCCAATCCTTAAACCTCGCCGTGGCTTCCAAGCCCCTCACCATTGTCGCCGCGACGAAGAAGGCCGTCGCAGTCCTCAAAGGAAATTCCCAAGCCGAAGGCGTCGTCATATTGACCCAAGAAGACGACGGTCTGTTTTCCATTCCCTACTCAGCTCGAATTAGCTCCTACTTGTTCCATTTTTTGCTGTTTGAACTTGTTAATTTTCTCCTCCCCCCTTTTAATTCCTTGTATCCGATTAGTTTAATCAATTTGAGCTCTTTAATTGTTAAATGATACAGGTCCGACGACTGTGAATGTTCGTGTCACCGGACTTACTCCTGGACCTCATGGGTTCCACCTCGTGAGTGTTGACATTTGATTGTAGCTTTTATAATTTTGGAAGAGAACACTAGGAAGCTCTTTTTTTTTATGAATTGTGGTTCATTTTCCTTTTTCATTTTTGATTTCTGAATCTTTTGCGCAGCACGAGTATGGCGACACGACAAATGGGTGTATATCCACAGGTTGGATTCAGTTGTCTTTGCTGGGTTTGTTATTTAATTAACGGATATTCTAGCTTGAAACATTTGCAATACATGCTTAAATAGAGTGTTTAAATTGATCATAGATTGAAATTTGAATTAGGATATATATAATATATTTTTTTTTCTGTTGGCCTAATCAGGGGCACATTTCAACCCAAATAACATGACACATGGTGCTCCTGAGGATGAAGTCCGTCATGCGGGTGACCTGGGAAACATAGTTGCTAATGCTGATGGTAACCCACTTCCATTCCTATGAGAACTTCTCTGGTTGTTTCCTGCTGTGCTGTATGTTCTAAATTTTTTGGTATTGTATGGAAATGTAGGAGTGGCAGAGGCAATAATTGTGGATAGCCAGGTATGACATTTTTTCTTTTCTTTTCTTTTCTTTTTCTTTTTTGTTTTCATGCCTTGCATGATTTATGGAATTTGCTTTGCTATATTCTAATTCTTAGTATCACTATTTTAAAACGCAAAGGTTTGTGGCGAGGTGGTAGGATCTTCTGAGGTGTAAGGCCTATGCCTCATGAAACCTCATTATTTCAAGAAAAAACATGAACTACTATGAGAAGTGTAAAAAAGACTTTTTTTTTTTTATGAGAAGAATGTATGGATGAGTTGATCATCATATAAACATGGACTACAAAGTATTAATAAGTTTCTTACAATTCCTAGACAATTAATGGCTCTTAATGTAAATAAAACCCAATAGACACCCAGAAATCTTACCATTAGTCTTTAACTGGTTGCTGTGATGAGAAATCTATTTCAATTAATGTATGGAATTACATGTTGATGATATAAGGCACCAGAAAGTGTGGCATATGTTCTTTTACTCCTGATCCTCCAGGTTGAGCCTCGGGGAGTTTTCCTTAAGTGGTTAAGCGATACCTTGAGATGAGCCTCAAGGTGTAAGCCTCACATGTTTCTTAAACCTGCTTGGTAGTCCCTTCTATTACTGAGACTTTTGCCTCACTTTTGCCTGAAATATGTAGATACCACTGACTGGACCTAATTCCGTTGTTGGAAGAGCATTTGTGGTTCATGAATTGGAGGATGACCTTGGAAAGGGTAATTATTTAAGTTGGGCTTCATTTAGCTCTTTCTTTCTGATGGTGCATTTTTGTTTATTTGTAAGTTCTATCTTTCTTGCGATATGCTTATTGCTGCTTTAAAATCTGACTTTCTATCTGTCATGCATCTATAGGTGGGCATGAACTTAGCCTTACAACTGGCAATGCAGGTGGAAGGTTGGCATGTGGTAAGAAATACTCAAAATTCATAGGGATTCCTGTGCCCCTCTCTTGTTGGAAGGCCATAGTTTGTTTTATGTTTTTGTTGCTGGCTTGCAGCTAGAATAACTATGAATCACTTGCTAATCAAAAGTGGACACATGTAGTTGAAGTTTAATGAAACAATACATATAGATTGTGACAAATTTTGGAAACCATGCTAACATTACGAAAAAATAATAATAAAACATTTCATAACCATATTTTAGCCTTTTAGGAAATTATTAAGATTATTATGACATAACTGGATATTAAAAACGTATTATATTCAAAAGCAATAATTTCTTGCAACTTGTTTCCCCTATGAATTTAAATAACAGTCTTTACAGTGGTAAAGATGGCAGACATTGCATTATTAGCATGTTGATCGGATTGCAAAATTGGCTTCTTACCTCATATTTAGGATTCCTGCTGGGGGTGACATTATTGGTCAAGGCTATATGATTGCTCAAAAGGAGGGTGAGCATCTCCCAAACAAGATACAAGATCTGATCGTATAGGAATATACAGCTTATACAAAAGGTACACTGCTTGTATATTGTAAAGAGACTGGGCCGAATGGGTCCTAGTATCTTCTCTTGTAATATTTTTTCTATTTTCCTATTAGCTAATGGCCTCTCTTAATGGGCTTGTTATTTCTTTTTGTTTGATCTCTTTATTTTACTGCCTAACTGGCCGCCCACTTAAGGGCATACTTGTAATATTTTTAACATTAATTTTTAGTAAAAAGGATTAGAGAAGAGAGGGAAGGATTATTCGGACCTTTATTCTTCTTCCTCTTTTCTTCATCTTCTTCTCTTGTACTACTGCTCTTACTTTTCTTCCTTCTTTTTCTCTCTAATTTTTCAAGTTTACACCTATTTTTGAGGACTGGTTTACATCTTGGTATCAGAGTAGGTTTCTTTCTTCCTTCTTTTCTTCTTCCACTTTTCCCATACACCCTTCGATTAAGAGACTGTATGGAGAGATAGGTTCTCTATAACTCAGAGGATCTCTGGTCTAGTTGGTAGAGGGTTTGGAGAGTTTAAATCTGGCTGGATATTGCCAAGAAGTGGTGTTGTTTTGTTGCTGCCCAAAACCCTAGCCGGCTAGAGATTTTCGAAGGTACATGTAAAGGTGAAGCTTTGGGTGTGGCGCTCTGTGCTTGGGAGGTGTCTTTTGACTCCTAAAGGAGGGCGGTTCAGGTTTGGAAGAGATTGGGAAGCTCTGGTAGGAGCGGCTGCATCTTCCTCCCCAACAGTTGGACGGAGTAAAACCCTAGTTTTCAAGCATTTGGGTTCTGGTTGGACTTCAAGTAAGTTTATATAGACCAAATTTTTGGTTCTTTGATTTTTTGTTTGATTAATGGGGCCATACGGAAGTGAGTTCAAGCAAGTGTCGGTTTCTGGCCTCGGCTCGGTAGATCCCGTTTTGACTGGTGTAACCACAATCAAGCTAGATGGGACAAATTATCTTGCTTGGGCATAGTCTATAAGAATTTATGTCTGTAGTAGAGGAAAACTCGAGTATCTCGCAGGTAGTAAAGTGAAACCCGAAGAGACAGACCCTACATTTGAGAAATGGATGCAAGAGAACTATACAGTCATTTGATGGTTGGTCAACTCTATGCAACGTCATATAAGTCAGCATTATCTCTAGATGTCTTCGGCTAAGGAGATATGGGACAGTGTTACTGAGACCTATTCATAGAAGTTGAATGTAGCCAGAGTCTACAAGTTGAAAAGTGACATGAAGAACCTAAGACAACGGGAGAAGAATGTAACAATCTACTATTCTATACTGAAATCACTATGGCAAGAAATTGGTGCTATGGAGACAGTTGTATGGGAGAGTAAGAATGATGCTGAAATGTATAGGAATTGGTGGAGAGAAATAGGGTGTTTGAATTTCTTATTGGACTCAACCCTGAGTTTGACATCATTAGGCAAAATATCCTGGCCAAAGATGAGGTTACTCTTTCCCAGGCATTTGCTATGATAAGCAGTGAGGAGAGTAGGCAGCAGGTTCAGTTACAGAGTCCACCTACAAAACACTTTGCACATGCTGGAATAAAGCCAAAGGGGCCTATTGAGAAAAAGGAGCAGATATGTGAATATTGCAAGAAACCAAGGCATACAAGGGACACTTGCTGGAAGCTTCTTCCTGACAGGTTTAAGAATGACAACAGTTCTAAGAAGGGCAAACAAGCAAGAAAGCATAAGACAACTAATGTTGCTACAGTATTTGAAGGAGGAAATAAGGAGAGTGAAGAAAAATCGACCATTGAGCAGTTGGCAGCAATGAAGGCGGATTTTGAAAAGTATGGGAGACTGCTAAATCACTTGGAAGCTACTGTTTCTTCATCTCACTCTTCCAGCAACACATCATCATCATCTGCATTTRSTCACTCAGGTATTCGTGYTTCTGCAAATMATGCTTCAGTTTCAGGTAATCATAAAATCCCTTGGATTATTGATTCCRGTGCATCAGACCATATGACCAGCCTGTCTAATCTCTTATGCTCATACCACCTTCTCTCTGGWAAAGAGAAAATATCCCTTGCTGATGGGTCTCTTGCTCCCATTTTTGGTAAAGGGGATATAAAGACCTCTAACACCCTTTATTTATCCTTTGTCCTTCATGTCCCTAAACTTAATACAAACCTTTTATCTGTTAGCAGCTTAACTAGATCCATGAATTGTAGCATAACCTTTTTTCCCACTCATTGTGTTTTTCAGGACCTTCAATCTCAGAGAATGATTGGGAGTGCCCATGAGGCGAATGGAATATACTTGTTGGACACACCGGATAGAGATTTTGGACCACCTCATGGAGTTGCCTTAGAGTCAGTCTTGTCAGAGTCTATTGACAAAGTCTTGTTATGTCACTTTCGGTTTGGTCATTTGTCTTTTTCTGCTTTGAGTCATTTGTTTCCCAATATGTTTAAGGGAGTGTCTTTATCGAGTCTTCATTGTGAGTCGTGTGAACTGGCAAAGCATTGTAGACATTCTTATTCAGTAAGCAATAAAAGATCTCTTTCTCCTTTTCATATTGTTCACTCTGATGTGTGGGGGCCATATCATTTGCCAACAATGGGGGGTTACAAGTACTTTATCCTTTTTATTGATGACTACTCTCGTTATACTTGGATTTATCTCATAAAATCCAAGGATGAAGTACTAGCTATTGTGCAAAAATTTCATGAACTCATCCTCACCCAATTTAACACTCGGATCAAAATATTCCGTTGTAATAATGCTAAGGAGTATTTTGAGAAAACCCTCTCCGCCTATCTTGAAACTTTTGGGGTTATTCATCAAAGTTCTTGTTCCTACACTCCACAACAGAGCGGAGTAGCAGAAAGGAAGAACCAACATGTGGTTGAAGTTGCCAAATCCCTCCTGTTTGCATCCCATGTTCCTATAAAATTTTGGGGAGATGTTGTTCTTACTGCTACCTTTTTGATCAACCGTATGCCCTCCCGGGTCCTTAACTTCAAAACCCCCTTTAGCCTTCTGTTCCCGGATAGGATCTTTTTTCTCTTCCTCTCTGTGTTTTTGGGTGCACTTGCTATGTGCATGTTCACAGCCATCAAAGGCACAAATTTGAACCTAAGGCTCGTAAATGTGTTTTTCTGGGATATGCCTCCACACAGAAGGGATATTGCTGTTTTGATCCAGTTAGTGGCACCCGCTTTGTATCTCGGGATGTCACATTTGCTGAGTTGACTCCTTTCTTTAGTATTTCTCCTGAGGGGGAGAAATCTGAAGAACTCTTTGCTATGTCTCCAGTTGTTCCTCTTCCCATTCCTCTTGAGTCCTCTCATGAGGTGTCCACTTCTCCCATTGGACCTACCTCCAATATTCCTGTTCCTTCTCCTCCTCCACCTCATTCTCCTATAATTCCTTCTCATCCTGTTCTCCAAAGGTGGTACCAAAGGCACAGATTCAGACATGGGCAAGTTGTTTCCACTCCTACAGAAGAGCCTCTTGCTCCTCCCATCATTACTGAGGTAACAGGTCAGCCTTCCTCTGACCCATCTACATCTTTTCCAGACCTTGACCTTCCTATTGCTCTCCGCAAGGGTAGGCGTAAGTGTACAGCCCATTGTATTTCCAAACACCTGTCTTACAACCTCCTCTCTCCTTCCTACTACTCTTTTCTTGCTTCTGTTTCTTCCCATGTGATACCCAGGTCCGTACCGGAAGCTTTATCTAAACCTGAATGGAGGGATGCTATGATGGCTRAACTGGATGCTTTGCATAAGAACCATACCTGGGATATTGTTGACTTGCTTGAAGGGAAGGAACCAGTGGGTTGTAAATGGGTGCTTACCATTAAATATCACTCTGATGGATCTATTGAGAGGTTTAAGGCTAGGCTGGTTGTTAAAGGCTACACTCAGATGTATGGTATTGGCTATCTTGAGACATTTGCTCCTGTAGCTAAGATGACCTTAGTCCGGGTTTTGTTATCTCTAACCGCTACTTTTGATTGGCCCCTACACCAGTTTGATGTTAAAAATGCCTTCTTGAATGGAGACCTACATGAAAATGTCTATATGTCTTTGCCTCCAAGGGTGTATGGGAAGGAAATGCAAGGCAAGGTGTGTAAACTGCAGAAATCTATTTATGGTCTCAAACAGTCTCCTCAGGCTTGGTTTGAGGGGTTCAGGGCTGCTCTTGTCTCCTTTGGTTACACAAACTCAATCTGATCATACCCTGTTCTTGAAGAGAAATGGCTCTCTAGTGACCTTTTTGGTAGTTTATGTTGATGATATTGTGGTCACGGGTAATAACACTCAAGAGGTCAGTAAACGCAAAAGATTTCTTAACTCTGAATTTGAGATCAAGAATTTGGGAGATCCTCGGTATTTTTTGGGCATTGAAGTTGCTAGATCTAAGGATGGCATCTTCATTTCTCAGTGTAAATATGTCCTTGACCTCCTTGTTGAGACTGGTAAACTTGGAGCTAAACCAATCTCCACTCC